TTTTTGTTCTGGGTTGGCAGGTTGAACAAACTTAATTATGAATGAGCACAAAGGAAAACGTTTTAGGGGGGAAGAACCAGAAAGGATGGAACCTTTTCTGATCCGGTAGCTGTTAGTTGTCTTAGCTGTCAAGTAAAACCATGTCAGTGAGGTGCAGTGAATAGATCTAAGAGCACGCACTGCCACGTTTTACTCTTTAATCCCTCTTTTCCCTCTTCTTGCACCTTAGATAGACTGTGATGCTCTGCAGACCCTTCTGTGAGCTGATTTTACATACTGAAGGAATGGAAAAGTAAACAAGCAAAACCAATATTCTACCATTTTCATGTCTGGAGAGCACCACTGCCCAGGGGAGGGAGTGAGTGCGTTGTGGCTAGCAGTGATGCAAGGGAAGAGGGATGGGCGTGATCTAAGCAAGGGTTTTCCTCTTGGTAGCAGCAAGTCATCTTATTCTCAAACCCTGCCTCCAGCCTGAGCTGTGCAATCTGCTGAGTTCAGCTGGGCCCTCTAGAAGGGCATCTGATAATAAAAACAGAAAATTAGTGGCTTATTGTTCCCATTAGATTTAGTTGCAGTCTTCTGGGCAAAAAGAGTCAAAGAGCCACTCTAAAAAAAGGTCATTTCAAATTTTCCCCTACAAACTAAAGCCACTTGACAAGTTAATCTGGTAGACAGACAGGAATGTAACAAACTTTGGAAATAAACAGTTTCATGTAGCTGGCGTCACACCTCCACTTAGTCTAGAGGGTTCTGTATAATAATAAAGAGAGAAACAAGTTTAAAAATCATATTCATGAAAAGTGAGTAGCTTATTAGGAGTAAAATTTTATTCTGTGTCTTTGAAGCTGTATTCTTTAATTCATTAAGCCTTTGGGGATTTAGTTATATAGCAGTATAGGAAGATGCTCAGGAAAATTTGTTAAAATATGTTTATTCTTTAATAGATGAAAACCTATTCAAACAACTTCTGATATAGATACACATGCTAGCTACAGAGCCTCTTTCTGTGGAGGAGTCCTGCCAGAGTAGCTGAGGATATCAGGTATTAAAAGTGACTGGATCCTTTCAGCAATCCTGTGAAGCTGGAAAATGGTAACAAGCCCTGATGGGAAACTGAAAACCTTTGTAAATTGCATTGCCCACAGTCCCATCCACTCTGCATTTGACCTAGGAGCTGAGTCTGTATTTCTCAAGTCACTGTCCAGTTTGTTATCGATTAAAGTGATAATCTGAGTAGACTTGTTATATCAGCCTCTTGCCACTGCTAGTTCTCTTGATCACCCAGAGTAAGTGGAATTAATGTTAATGTGTACATGCTCTGAAATTATGGTAGCTTTGAAAGCAAAATGAATATGTGTAACCATTCACAGTTTGCTTCTGCCTGTGTAAATTGCCGAAGGGTGAATTACAGGGGTAGCCTTTCGAACAGCAGTAGCCATCCTGAAATCTGGGGTTGCCTGAAGGTGTATGAACATATGCAATGTAATAGGACATTATCTGGCTACAATCTTGTTCCAGACTTGGTGCTTCAGAAGCAACAGGTGCTAGGGCTGAGAGCAGCTGAATCTTACTTTGCTGCAGCAGTGAAGGAGTTTATGCCCCCTTGCATCCACCCTGCTACCACAGATTATTGTCCCCAGAGCACAGCACATGTCCATGTCTTAGCTCCTCCCCTTTGAAAGGAAGCATCTTTGCTGAAATAACTTATGAAGGCAGATTTGGGCTAGTGAGGCTGAGGTGTCCAGGGATCCGATGCACATCCTGGTCTGGTACAGTCATAGAAGTTTCTTTAAATACCACAACAAAATCTGGTAGACATTCTTGGCCAGACCTATATTAACACATAGGAATGCAAGGTGTGATGTTGAAAGGCAAACTACTGAAAGAATTCAAAATGGTAAGATCATTTACAAACTGTATTGGGTTTGCATGGCAAGGTTTTGGTAGCTTGCAGGGGCTACAGGGGTGGCTTCTGTGAGAAGCTGCCAGAAGCTTCCCCTGCATCCAACAGAGCCAGTGCCAGCCGGCTCCAGGTTGGAGCCACCGCTGGCCAAGGCCAAGCCCATCAGCAATGGTGGTAGCGCTTCTGGGGTAATGTATTTAAGAAGAGGAAAACGTTGCTGTGCAAGTGCAGACAGAGAGGAGTGAGAATATGTGAGAGAAACAGCTCTGCAGAGACCAAGGTCAATGAAGAAGGAGGGGGAGGAGGTGCTCCAGGCACCAGAGCCTGTGGTGCAGCCCCTGGTGAGGCAGCTGTGCCCCTGCAGCCCAGGGAGGTTAACGGTGAGCAGATCTCCACCTGCAGCCTGGGGAGGACCCCACAGCAGAGCAGGTGGATGTGCTCAAAGGAGGCTGTGTCCCATTGGAGAGCCTGCACTGGAGTAGGATCCTGGCAGGACCCATGGCCCCATGGAGAGAGGAGCCCACGCTGGAGCAGGTTTTCTGGCAGGACTGGTGATCATGTGGGGGACCCACGCTGGAGCAGTCTGTTCCTGAAGGACTGCACTCCATGGAAGGAACCCATACTGGAGCAGCTCGTTGAGAGCTGCAGCCCATGGGAAGGACTCACATTGGAGAAGTTTGTGGAGGACTGTGTCCTGGGGGAGGGACCCCATGCTGGAGCAAGGGAAGGGTGTGAGGAGTCCCCTCCCTCTGAGGAGGAAGGAACAGCAGAGATGTGTGATGAACTGACCACAACCCCCATTCCCCAACCCTCTATGCTGCTGGGGAGAAGGAGGTAGAGAAAATCGGGAGTAAAGTTAAGCCTGGGAAGAAGGGTGGGGTGTGGGAAAGGTGTCGTTAAGATTTGGTTTTATCTCTCATTACCCTACTCTGATTTGATTGGTATTAAATTTAATTTTCCCCAAGCTGAGTCAGTTTTGCCTGTGACAGTAATTACTGAGTGATCTCCCTGTCTTTACCTTGACTCACGAGCCTTTTGTTATGTTTTCTCTCCCATGTTCAGCTGAGGAGGGGAGTGATAGAGAAGCTTTGGTGGGCACCTGGCATCCATCCAGGGTCAACCCATCACAGGGAAGGAACCCTTCCTGTAGCTCCGATCCCGCTAACAGGAGCTGAGGGCGGTGCACACGGCCTGTCTGCAGCCTGACTTTTGGTTTGTGTTCTGTTTCTGGATCACTATGGGCCTCCTTTCCAATAGAACAAATTTAACTGCTTTCATAGTTTTCAGTTTATTAGAACATTAGTATTACATGACTAGATGATATAATTAAATACAGAATCAACCTACTAAAAAGGAATTTTGGAAGGTACACATATAGAACTTGTTGTACAAAAATAGTGCACTTCCTCATGCCAGTGGAAGTTGTTAAAAATACCAATGTGTGTATGTTTTTTCTTCCCAGATAAACATTAGAAACGCTGAGAAAGTTAGCACAATAAATAAAGCATTTGCTGAAGTTCAGAAAGAAGTACAGCAGATATCAAAAGGCACTGCAGCAGAACCTCAGAAGAGTCATCAGGTAATTTCCCTTTGTGAAAATCTGAGGAGGGAAGTGGAAGGAATGTGCATGTTCAAAGCATTATATTCTAGCTCTAAGACTGCAGGCAATTCATGCAGTTGGTTTAAAGCTTTAAGCCCAGCTTTATTAATTTCAATTGTGGTAATGTTGAAATCCAGTTAGCATATTCAAGTGCTATTTAACTAGTAATAAAACTACTTTAACTACTAAAGTAATGAGAGACTAGGGTGGGCAGCCAAGCAGTAGCATGCTTCCAAAACATATTTTTAAATTATGTTCTAGTTGGTTTTTAACTGATTTTTTTAAAAAGTTAATTCCAGCTCCAGCCCCTTCATTTGAGACTTATGTCACAACATGAATAGACACAGAAAGTAAGGATGAACCTTGCTGTTCTTTACATAAAGTACCTGATAGTGCTTTGAACCAAAGAAACAGCTCTGCCTTTTTCTGTTCCCGATTCCTATGCCTTCATATTCTCTCATCAGAAGTAGCAACACCTGAACAGCAATTTCTGTACTAGAGCTCTTGCCTGTAGTACTTAGGGTTCAGGACAGTGTTTCACTTGTCTTCCTTTGTCTAGCCTTTGAAAAAGGGCTACGTGCAGTCTTGTGCAAGAAATAATTAATGGAATTTAATTGCTGACAAGCTCTTTCATATAAACTCTTAATGCTGGCTCTGATGCTCCAGGAATGGTTTGGGGGAGAGAGAGAAAAGCAGTGGTTAAGGTACACATCAATCCACGCTGGCTGTTGGGGGAAGTAGAGGGAGTTGGGAGAAGCACACGAGTTGAGCATGATTTACCGTGCCTGGGGTGACCGAGTTTCTGTATGGCTGGAAGGAACAAAAGAAGCATCAAGTAACTTAAGGAGAGGCTGAGGGAAAAATGAAACACAGGTGACAGTCCTGCCAGAACAGGATGAGGCTGAGCAAGGGTTTCAAGGCAGTTGGTGCCAGCGGCCCTGTCCCTGCTGGTTTGTTACTGCACACAGCCAGGAACTCAGACTTGCACCACTGCTCCCGTGCTAGTAGGGCTGTATGTGACATAATGTTGCATTTGATCACTCGGACTGTATTTTCTTTAAAGTTGCAAAAGCGTTGTTGAGAGCACTTCTGAACTAAAAGCTGAGCCTATTTCTATTTGGCCGTGTATGTTACATTACTAACATGATAGTTTGTCTTTCTCCTGAAGCATAAAGTGTCAGCTGCTTATCTGACAAGTTTAGTGAATCCTGTAATGCCCCAAATTATTGAATTATGACTGTAAAATTAGCCTAAATTAAATACATAGAGAAAAAATTAATCTTCTAGACAAGGGATATTTACTAGTGTTTTTCTGCCAAGTAGAGTAAGAAGAAATTGCTTTCTACTTTAAACTGAAACTCTTTTTTTTTCAGGCTTCTACAAATCTGGAAGAGGAACCAGCAAATGTGGATGCTGCTACAAACCTGTTGTCTCAGTTGTAATACATAATGGACAATGGAGGGATTGCAAGAAATGAAGATCACAAATACTGATGGCTTTGTTTGTACAATTTTATTAAAAAAATCTTGTTAATATACAAGTATTGGCACACTTTAATACAAACTACAAACAGACCTTTCCTATCATCTAGGAAAGTGGAATGTCAGAAGTCAGTGTGAGAAACTTAAAGTGCTAAAACAGAAGGCACTTCACAAAATTGGTTCACTGAAACAGTTTAGCATAACTCAAGTTGACATCCTTCACTTTTCAGCGTGGCAGTGAAAGCTTCAAAATGGATTGAAAGGTTAAAAAAAAAGCTTCTTGGCAGTAAAGCTTCAAAGAAAATGCTGTTAACTGTAAGCAAGAAGCCTAATCATTTTTTTTTTAATGATCAAAAGGCTGTAGAGCATCTTTACTTTTCTTACTGAAGAAAACTCCAAATACTTGCATTACACAGAGGATACTCAGGTGAAAAAAAGGTGCCAGAATTTTTGATAAAAGCCCTTTTTTCTGGTTGTGGAATTTGTTTTGTGAAGTAGTTAAAGGAAGCAAAAGGAAATATACTCCCAGAGTCAGTGAACTAAGAAGTTATACATTCATTATTCAAATACTTAGGTTATGAAGAAGTCTAGAATGTTATAGTTAGAGGTAGATAAGTAGTCTGGTTGACACAATATCTAATAATTTAGTATCTGCACATCAAAGAGATCACAGACTCCTTCATTATCATCCAGGTTAAAGTTGTAGTCATCTCCGGGAGTAGGAGAGAGTCGTAAGAGAGGAAAAACTGTAAAGCAGGAATAGTTTAGTTTAAATTAAAACACTTCTGGAATATCAGCCCTATCTCATAATTCAGTGTTTGTCATCAGCAGTATCATGGTTAGTCTTAATTAAAATAGTCTTGATAATCTGACAAGCATGCTAGGATATATACTGTGAATACCTGTATTGACTTCAAACTAAGGCAGTGACACGTCTACATTTTTTGCTTAGTATTTTAAGTGTGTTTGCTGGAACGGAGTGATAGCTGTGGAATATGAACTTAAATTCTTCTGCAGCAAAGGAGTGCCTGAGCAGCTTTTGAAACTTTCATCAGAAAGCAATCATTCATATTTGTAATTCCTTTGTCTTGTTGCTGTATTGCATGTATAAGGTTATAAATATTTGAAAGCTGAAGTAAGGAATTTAACATTATCCCCATTTTACAAATGAAAAGTGAAGGCTAGCAGTTTCTCTGTGCACTGCATTTCAAGCATGGATTTCATGTCATCTTTGGGGAGGGCACGCAAGAAAAGAAGCCCCAGCCCTCATGCTGCACCTCAGGAACACTAACCTAGTGCAGATGAGCTGTGCATGCTGTACATGCTCTAAAAATGGATACTGTTTCCATTGTAGCTATGTATTGGCACTTTCACATAATGCTATCTTGCCCCTCGAATCTTATAATTACTTGGTTCTTTCTGATAAGCTCTGAGGTTGTCTGCTTAAAGGGCAGATAATAGCACAGGCTGCTCACAGCAGCATATTTACAGGGAGAGAGGAATAATGCCAGCTGAGTTCATCTCTTTACCTGGCACCTCAGCAAGCTAAAGCAGCAAGGCAGGGAGCATATAAACCTACTAGCTGTAGTTTAGTTCTGTACTCACATGGCTACGAAGGTGCAAGAGCAGAAAGGGGTGACCTTTGTTCTATCAGTGTGCCACAGCTGCCCCTGTATAGGTCTGCATGCAGGCATGTATGCTCTGAAATGTTTACTCAAAGCTCCTGCAGGAAGCCTGAGGCAGAACAGAATTAAACCAGAACTTTTTTTTAAGGCAGCACTCTAGTCATCAGCCTGTTCTTTCTCTGTTCCTGAATTAAGGACTGGTGGGTTACTCATGCATGTAAGTGCTTTCTGGATTAAGGCTCTCATATGTTGATTGTTAAATAAAACTTGCAGGGAATGGAAAGGGGAGCAAAGACAAGAATGACAAAGATAGAGGAGGCAGTACAGGGGGAAGAAGTAGTTTCATACTGACTCTTGGCATCAGATTTAACAGACACCTATCGAGTGCTCTTCACACAAAAACCATGCTGCCACTTGCAATTATTAAAAAAGTAAAGATGTTAAAATACTTACCGTCAGAAGACATGAGTTCATCAATAATATCCCCACTGATATTTCCTGTAAAAGACAGGAGCATGTGTTTATGGAAGTTGACACGGACTCATTAAAACACTGAACTGCAAAGTACAGTATGGCTCGTGCACAGCGTAAGAGAAGTAGAGATAGCGATAGCATGCCATGCGTATGTAAAATAGATTCCATCTTTGTATTCCTCATTTTTTTCCTGATAGATTTCTCCCAGTAATCCCTTATAACCCTAGAACCATGTATAACACAGATCTGATCTGGTGGCAGAGAAAGGTATTTTGGTCAAAATAAGTTTGCTACTTAGAGCTGGCTCAGCAGCTTCATTAGATGAACAGAAGCTTGTCGTTTTCTCTGTGTAACTCATCAGTAACTCGGTCATAAAGAAGGGCTCAGGAAACTAATAACATTTAAACAGTCACTACTGCTTCCTACCTGTGGGCTCCTCCATCTTTGCTATGTCAAATGAGTTTGGCTTGAGGATACAGTTAACATCCAGGGGCAGCAAGCCCTGGTAGTCACTTGAGCTAGTTGTAGCTTGGGCGACATCTCCTGAAAGGCTGGGGTACAACACCGACTCTGGAAGGCTGGAGTAAGGAGCTGCTGGGGTTGTACTGCTCTGCTGCACACTGTCGTCTGTAATAAAAACAGAAAGGCACGTTATGAAGTCTGTTACGGTAAAAGGGAACACAAAACGCCTGCACCCAGCTTTGTCTTTTGAGAACATGGCCAATGTCTGGAATGAGGCAAGAGAAGCCTCCCCCTTCCAAAGTCACAGGCAGAGTTTTATCAGGACCCCTCAGAAATGCAGTATGTAACACTGACATAATTTTCTTAAACATTTTCCTATTATCCTCCTGTTATTATGAAAAAAACACCTGATACTCAGGGAGTCTCTCACTGTGGCTACGTGAAAGAAGATAAGCGACCCTGTGGCACAAAAGGGGAACTGGTGCCTGTATTATCTGTCTCATTAAAAGGTACGTGGTTCAAATCCTATCTTCCATCAGAGCTCGGCAATTTCACTGCATCCTGCACTCAGGAGAAGCACCTCAGAATAATTAACAGGATCACATCCAAAACCTGTTCAGTATAAAATGATAAGCTACAAGGGAAGCTGTCTTCTCTTTCAGCAGACAGAAGAGGAAGAGGCTTCTCTGTAGCCTGAGAGCTAGTAGTAAGCCCTTGGGGTAGTTTCTTAACAGACAGCTGCTACCTTGCACAAATTCTTGATCTTTCCTTTATCTGCCACCTTTTCTAACAGTTCTTTCCCTCCAGCTCCTGAGCTTCCCCACCCATCTGAGGTAGGAAAAACTCTGGACCCACCTGATGGTGTGTCCGCAACTGCTGTTTGCGGTAACTCCTGTCCTTGGTTCAGATCATGTTGTTCTGGTGGATTTTGAGGAGCTGTAGCAGGTTTAAGGGGGGTGGCTGGAGCTGCAGGTTGAGATGGGGGCTGTGCAAGGTCATCAGGTGGAGGAACTGGAAACACCATGGGCTTGGCGGAGCTTGAGTCTTTATTTATAAGCAGCACATGGATAGGTCCTGAACTACTTTTGAGATTGATCTGGTATTTCTTCTGTCCATTCTGTCCCTGTAAAGGTGGTGTATTATGAAAGTACCGTTCCTTGAGAACTTGGAACTTTACAAAATGTAACAGTAACTGCATAGAGTTATTTCTCACAGAAAGTAATGAAGATGTTTGAACAGAATTCTCAAACTGATGCAGAAGATAAATACAGTGCTTTTCTAGTTAGATCTTATCGAATCATATTCAGGAAAAAATATTTTAAATTAATACATGTGATCTAATAAAAAAAAAACAAAACCAAACCAGATTACAAACCTGTAATGTATTTACCTGACCAGAACAGCTACAGAGGACACAATCACAATCTGAAGTGTTTAACTAAGCTTGAATTCAAGTCATATGAGACTTATAGCAGGGCTACATCTTATCAATAAGAACAATGATAGTTATTTCTGCACATTTACATTTTTTTCTTTTTAGACGGAGCTTCAGAATGATCCTGGTTGAAACCAAGCATCCTAAAACGGATATATCACCAAGACTGAGTGAACACAGGACCACGAGTCAGTAGAAACGATTTCTTAGCTCATTTGCCAGGCCTTCTTTTGGCAAATTAATTAAGCAATACAGCTAGGACTAGCTTCCTCTAGCTAGTCTCAATGAGACCACTGACTCCACAGTGGCTAATTCAGCAAACAGGTTTTCAGCAAGTATGTTCTAGAATGAGAAAAGTGGAAAATAAGCCTCAGGAAATGGGAACCAAAGCAAAAACATCCAGTTTGAACTTGGTGATGAAGACTTAAGATCAGCTCTTTTAGTCCCTTACAAAAAGCCAAAAAATCTCCACCCCAACATCACAGCTGCTAACTTTGGTCCCACTGAGCACTTTACCATTGCTTAAACTGATTTCAGCAGAGACAGACAGAGATAGTACCACCAATTAGCTTCACGGTTCTAGCGTTGGATGCTCTTATGATACTAGACTGTGCTTAGCCTCACTAAAAATAGCTTGTGAAACTTCTCAGGTGAATTTCAGCCTTCTACAAGTGTAGTGGCTATCATGCTTCATACAATCCTCTCTCCCAACCATATAAACCCAATATAAAACAGAGCACTGCAACAACAACAACAACAACAACAACAACAACAACAACAACAACAATTAAAGATGAGCAGAGGTAAGTAATTTGGCCTCCTGCCCATTTCAGCCTTTTGGGGAAAGTGAGAGTGCAGTCTGTTTCTCTATCCTGTCTAGTACCACGAGACTAAACATAAACTAAATCTAAACTAAACCTAAACCTAAAACTAAATGGAAAAGCTTTTTGGTAAAAGATCTGTTTTAACTGCGACAGAGAAATTTGACACATAAAAGTCACTGCTAATAAGTTCTCAAGGGGATTCATGACAATTATGTAAAATTTGGAAAACTACAACATTTAAAAGCAAGAGAGAAGGGAGGGCAAAGAAACCCACTACTGCATCTTGATTTTAATATAAGACAGAGTTATCATTACTCTAGGTGTACAAAACCCACTTTTCCCACATGGCCTCTCCCTTCTCAACTCAAACAACCTTAGTTTTTTTACCCCTCTTACACACAGACATAAATCCTCTGCTCTAATGTAGCTCTTCTTTTCCGCTGTTCCTCTAGAACTCTTAGGTAAACAAGAAACCACCAGTACATACCATTTCGGGTATAGGTACTTCTAACTGTGTACCACAAGGTGCTTGAATTGCTAGAAGTGTGTCTCCTGGTTAAATATCAATTTTAAAGAAAGTGTTAAGTGTGCATATTTTTCTTAAGTCTTGCATAGTATCCACTCAAATGAGATATGGTAATTCTCTAAGGCACCACCACATAATATAAATCACAAAATTCCAATATTTAGACCATAGTTGCAAGAACCTTTTCTCGTACTCGTAGCAGTACAAGATTTACCACTTCCTTTACCTGTTTGTTACTGTCCCCAGATCTCCTAGTGGTATGCATAATGTGAGGTGAAAATATTTAACTAGCTTCTTTTTCAGCTAAAGCAGCTCTCTGGTCCAGCTCACTTTATGGCTTTGAAGAACAGTGGTAGTAGAGAGAGATTTAACAGAAGGAAGAAAATGTATTAATGATCATCTTCAGTGCCAGCACTTCCAAGTGTTTAAGCCCTCAGCTTCTGCAGCACATACAAATGGGATGTAGCAGCTGGCTATCAAACTCACCTGTGGCTTACTATGCACACTAAAATGTATTGGTTAAAGTCAGGAGATCATAAGTACCTCAACAGCACAACCTGCCTTACACTGCAGGTCACTAACCTACCTGTACATCATTTCCCCTTTGTCCGTAACTTGGAATAATGCTTTTCTTTCTCTGCCTCCTAAGAGACACATGAAGTACTATGTGACTGGCATACTAGATGCCTCCACATTTTGTGATGAGTAACTTCTTTTAGTAACAGCTTATTTTTGTTAAACTCTGCAGCAGTTTTGGGGTTTTTTAATTAAAAAAAAACCCCAACCTTCTTTGTGGCAAAGAAGAGGTAGTTCTGAGCCAAGCTGGAGGCTAAACAACAATCCTGTCTTGGGTGTCCCAGGATCAGGAGATGTCAAGGGAAGTAACTTTTGCCAGCAATTGTTGGCAATTTCTTCAAGCCTCCTGTACAGTAGGAATCTTTTTGATTTAGTAGCTGTGCCCCATCACTGAACTTCAGCTGGCTCCATTTATACAGCATCATCAGGAGCTCCTTTTGGCTGCAGCTGCCACCAGAAAATGTTATAAAATTTGGACCTGTCTGGTCTTTCTGGTGGGACGGACCAACATGTCCTGTCCCTGGTTCCATTAACAGCCTGAGGTAAGCCACTGCAAAGTATGAATACAGAAAAAGACATCTGAAACCAGTACTCAAAAAACAGCTGAGCTTTCATTCTGTACAATCTGTGACTACACCTAGAAATGACAGAACTTGCTAGTCATGAACATTACGAGAGACATCTACTTAGTACTAATCACTATTGAATACTTGTAAATTTTAAATACTTGCAGGGAAAAAGCAGATTAGTTAGCAAGTTAGTTTTCAAGAGGAAGATCAAGAAATCTCTCATTTTAAGAAATAACAGCCTAGCGGCAACTTACCATTGAAGCAGTTGCAGATATCTTCATGGGTGACATATGAAAACGTGACTTATGTCAAGGAACATTTTTCTTAAAGCAACATGAAACTGGTATTTGTTACCCTTTGAAAGACGTTTGTCCAAACTGAGTCTCAACTATAAACTTACTGCTATTACTCAGAGGTGTAATCAAGGCATGATTTTTGGCTTTCAGGATGGCTAGTTAAAAACAGCAAAGTTCTGTCTTCTAAAGAAAAAAAATCTGTATCTGTGAAGAAAAAAAAAAGTGTAGTTTGAATGAGAAGAGATTCTTCTAAAAAAGGAAAACATGTAAAATCTTGTTTTGAGGAATACCATTTACCTTTTTAACTTGACACCACAGAATTCAAGTACGTATCAGGACTTCCCAGAATCACACAAATATACTGCCAGAGGGGACATGAGAGTTCACCTGCTGTCCCATCCCACTCCCTCCCTCAATGTAGATCAACTGTTAAGACATTCTAAACAGATGTTTGCCTCCCCTCTTCTGGAAAACCTCCAGTAACGGATATTCCACCACCTCCCTGGGGGGTCAATTCCACTGCTAGCTCTCCCAAAGCAAAGTTTCTCCTAACAGCTAACTTCAGTCTCCTTTGCTACAAAATCCATTTCATAGGAACAGTTTCTGTAGAGCAACTCAAGTAATTTGTAAGTACTTATCACTGGTGCTATAGATAAGAAGGGCACTTTCCTTCTCCCAATCTCAGGTGTCTTATTTTGCTCAATAATCTTGCAAGACAACTAAACACATGGCTACGAGCAATGAAGCTGTAGCTCTCTGCTCATGGGGTATTTACACGCAGGATATTTTTCCAATTTCAAACCCAACAAGCTTCAGGACTTTGTCAACTCTATTTATCTTTGGGTGATAGCTTAACCTTTTCAAGAGAAGGAAGCAACACAAAAAAAGATTCACGTAAAGCACCGGTAAAAAGTATAAATTCAAGTGCCAGAAAGCAACAGAATTAATTTAAAATAAGACACCAGGATTATACTATGGACTAAAAATTACTGCCAAATATATGTGTGTGTGTGTGTGTGTGTGTGTGTGTGTGTGTGTGCTAAATTATTTTCAGATCCAATCATACAGTCAGAGAAGTTAAAAAGTCATGTAAATAAGATTTATATTTTCTTTCTTTTTCAACCAAAACCAGAAAAATATATCTGCCTTTCCTTGCTTCTTGATAAGATGGACTACGTTATGCTTTATCCAATACCTATACTTTAACTGTTACTTTAATTCTAGTTCCAAGATACACGCAATTAATGTAAAAGGATATTGGTGGTTCGTTGAATCATCCATGACGTTCTTGATACTTTGCTGAAGCCATAGTTTCTGCTGATCCAATTCTTTTTCTTTTAGCTCTAGATCTTCAATTTCAGCTTCCAGATACCTAAGCCTGTCTATGACTTCTTTTGTATTGCAGCCAGCACCTACTCCTCTTAAAAAGATATAAGGGTGCATGAAACCACAAGTGAAAATCTAAAGCAAACACGCAAAGATGATTTCTTAAGACTGTTTTCAAAATTTTGGAATATCTACTAATATTCAGGGAATACTAATATTAGGGAGATGAACATTTACCTTACCAGCACTGATTTAACAGAAAAATAAAAATTCTTAATAAAAATTCAGATCAAATTTAGAATTTCCCTCTACTGAAATTTATTTTCTTTTGGAATGTAGGGGTTTTTCTGCATTAGAGCTGGTTTTCAGATACTTTCTTCCCCTCTTAACTCTTAGCTTGAGCTTTCATCTTCAGTGACCCAGGAAGAAATAGGCATGGACTACAGGATGTAGGCAGGTGGAGACAGTGTGTCTCAATGCCCCTCCCAGATTCATCTAAATTTTTCAACTACAAGTACTAGTTGTAAAGTAGCACAAGTTTTCTGAAAGTTTCTCTCCTGTATGCTCTAGACTTTTTATATATCAAAGACACAAGTTAAAGGGAAGACAAATAAAAGTTCATTTGTAACTTTGCTGTAATTCTAAAATACCGTATTGCTCGTTGGTGAGCATAACATTAATTTTATGTTGTATCTACTCAGGAGAAGGGGGAAGAGGCAATATTTGTTGCTCTTGAGCACACAAAAATTTGCAGAATTGACATGGCTTACTTCCACTGAATGCTGTTTTTTGACTTCTTCTCAATGAGATCAATTCCCTCTAAAACATTGGTGATATCATAGATCCTTCTCTTCTGCCTCACAGCAAGGGTATCAGCAGCCTGCCAAGACAAGAACAAGTATCAGCAGCTTGCATGCTGAGGGCAAAAGACAGTTAAGCCATTCCCTTGGAAAAATGCCAACTACTGTCATACTGAAGGGAGGAGGTTTGGCTCTTCAAAAGCCAGATGCTCAATCATGAATTCAAGAGTTCAGCACCTGCGTGTAGTGCTACAAAGCTGAGAGGAGTCACCTCTCTGAAGGCAGCAGGCTTACCCTCGACAGAGAGTTCACGTGTGTTGCAAAGACCATGTTCGGTATTTGGAGCATGTGCTATTCAACTGCACAGAGGAGCTTACAGCGTTCTTTTTGTAAGGTAGGAAAAAGTGGGGAAGGCAGACAGCAATGCCCTGCAGTGGAACATGCCTCTGAAGCGATGTATTATCATCCCTTCCACTGACATTTGAGGTATTGCAGTTTTTGTTTGGATTAAACTGTGCTAGGAAACGAAATGACAGGGCTGCAATTTCACAAAGTGGCTGAAGGAGAGCTGCAATACTTCAAGTAGGCAACATCCTCTAACATTTCACTGCACGAATTCGCCTCCCGGTGTACCTGGACTTGCTCAGTCTGTCACACTGAGTACCAAGAGCTGTTTCACAGCCACCAGGACCATGGTACAGCTCACAGGGATGCTCGCCGCTGTCGCACTATCACTTTCACGTTCCAGCTAGCTAGGCCATGTGTCTGCGTGCTGTCACAGCTCGTCATTCAAAGCAAAGCAGCATGTCAGACAGAGGTAACAGTCTGCTTCATGCCATAATTCTCTCCATGGTGACTTTTATGTACCTGATGCAAAGATTTAAGATAAAATAAGCAAACTTGGGTTCATTATGCCTTCCACACCCTCAGCTCTTTGATGCTGTAAAGCAGCTCAAGTTCAAAGAATATTAGCTAAAAGGAGAGAAAGCAAAGAGGAGTCTGAATCAGCAACTACTCAGGATACTCAGATAAACGATTACAAGGGATTATATATATTAAACAGATTAAAAGAAAAAAAAAAAAAGAAGAAAAATAGAGGGAAGGATAGCTGGCAAAGACTTCTGCATTCTGAATTTGAACAAATGCACAAAGTCACCTAATTTCCACTACATATAACGATTTCCACTGCATATAATGATTTATTTCAGTTTGTCCAACGGTCTATTAAATGAATGCTTTTAGTAAGGTAGCCTACATGAAGAGTACAACCTGATGCAACCACAAATAAGAAGGAAAACCAAATCCATTTTATAGTGAAGTCCATATAACTCCTTTTACAGTATTTTCTGAGCTCTAAAGAAACTCACTAATCTTCCCAAGAAATTACACTTTCCTAATAAAGTTAATTACTAGGACTCAGTAGTCCAATTTATATGGTGAATGTTTTTCTAGTGAAGTAAAATTAAAGGAAAAAATGGAAGAAGAATGGAGATGGAAAAAATACTCTTACAGCCATGAAATATAAACACTGCTCTTTCTCCTTGACAGTGAGGTACCTACTAAACAGTGTTACCAACATTTATCTTTTGTATCGTCTTCTGTAGCAGTCTGTTAAAATCTTTTCCTATCTATCAACAAAACACATACAAATTAATACAAAGCACACACTTTAGTTCTCTCCAAGGAAACAGGCTCTTTGACCACCTGTACCAGCAGGCATGCACCTGCTATCTTAACCTGCTATGTTTGCTGCATGCATACACACTGCTTACAATGACTGCAAGACAGGCCTTCAGAATCTAGGCAGTGACAAAACTGATGCTGCCTGCACAACATTTAATCAACACCCTGTATATCTCATAGTCTTCAGAGGCACAATCTCTACAAGCTCTCTACATTGTTCAGTGCAAGGAATGGACAGCACACACTTAATCAGTTGCTATTCTGATTAATTACTTTCTGCTTTTTTTCCATTGCTCAACACATGAACCTAGGACTTGGTGTACCGCTCATGGTTTGAGTGATGGAAAAACTGCTCTGGAGACTGATTTCATTGCCTCATGAGATTCTCCAAAATACCTGTCTGTGCAACATACAAATGCTTTACTAATCTTACTGTATTTTCAAGACTAAAAAAAAAAAAAACCCCACTAATTTTGAGTGCCCAACTTCAGATGTTTCGAAGTTGGAGTGGTCTCGGTACTCTAAATTCTCCTGCATTTCATATACTCAAAGCAGAGCTCCCATTAACACCGGCAGTGGAGATTCACTGCTGCTGCAAACCAGGCTCCAGAACCCCAAGTTAGGGACTGAGAAAACGAAGGACACAATTACACACGTATCTGGCTTGACTAGCACTGTATATAATTCAATCACAGCTGCAAAGTCCAACTACTTACAACAGGAATTCCAACAAAGAAGTCAAAACGAGGGACAGTCTGGAAAGTGTAATCCAGACATTCACTAGTTTTCTGGTGCTGATCTTGCAACCTAATTACCTTCTCAAAATTTTATGGAGTGTTTCAGAGATATTTTAAAAATCAATTGAAAAGTTCCTTGACACTCTAGTAGTTACAAATGTGACACCTTCTTGTAGGCACACAGTTCAGAAATTAAGTTCAGGCATTCAGTTCCTCCACATGAACCACAAAATAATGACTTCAATAATTAAGAGTCTTTTGAGACAAATCTCCTGTTGTCAACAGTACTTTTAAAACTCGTAATTTCTCTGCCTACGTCAAATGGTGAAAGCAGATCCAGCAGCACAAGAAAGGGACATCTACCACAATGGCCCTGCTAACATGGTTGGAGGTAGCTTCCACACTCCTTCCTCTGAACCATTTGTATTTGGAGTTCCTTCTTAAAATCTTTTAAATGTAAAGCTGCTGCATTCTAGTCATTCCTTCTAGTATCTCCTCATACTTTGATTAAGTATGTATCCAAGACAAGCATTGTATGAATGTCTCACAGACAGGTTTGGAACTAGAAGAAAAATCTCTAAGTGCAGGGCTTTGGTTTCGTGTGCATTCAGATCATGCAACTTGTGGAATACTGAAAATGTGCTGCTCAGCACAGTTTCAGCTGCAGGCATACACATACACACAAAAACCTGCCCATGAATAAAACAACCAACCAGAAAAAGGGTAATTGAGAGTTTGGGTGGACTCTCACACAACGTCTTTGCTCCCTGAATGCTGACAAAAGGCAGTGGGAATCATCAGCATTAGCACCGAAGAGCAGATGAATTTGCTAGAGCACCATGGCAGAGTCATTACTGAAAAGCTTAACAAAGCAGAAAGGCCAGCAATGCCTGCCTGCTCTCCCTGTGTCCCCAAGAGGACTGTCAACACTTCTGTGAGAGTTAAACTGAACAGTGTGCTTGGCAACCTGTACATAAAACTAATAAATATCACTGCACGCATAAAGGTTAAGGGAACATAAAATTTAGCAGATAGGCTTTTTCTTCTTCTGTAGAATATGGCAAGTGTATGGCAGTTGTTATTTGCTGCTGATCAATACATTTATAAAGGTAGCAGCAAACAAGTAGATTTTAGAGTACCTGATGTTTTGCACTGCTGATCAGAAACACTACTTAACCTCAAGTATAGCATTCTGCTTTAAACCAAGCCCATTTAAGAAATCAAGGCAAAAGCGGTTGTATGCTACTGAAGAGAAAGAACAAACGATGTGGGAGTCATTTCAGGAGGCTTATTCCTCATTCACTCATCTTGCTTTTTTTCTCTTCCCTTCAATTCATGGGTTGCTGCAAATAGGAACTTTGCTCTCCTTCCCTTCCATCTCCTTAATGTCTTAGGCTATGTTTTGAAAATTATATTTGTTTATACAGGATTATTCAGGGACAGCTATACAATTACTGGAGAATAGATGTTTAATTTTAAAGTAAGCACCGTAGAATTCAAGTAAAAAAAATCCTTACTTCCACTCCCAGGATGTGGTCAAATGTTAGCAGAGAAACATCCAGCACTAAACCATTTCCAAAATCAGTTCAGCATACAGAGGTCGCAGGGCTCCCTGCTCCTAAAGCAAGGAACTCTGCCCACACATAGGACAACACATTCACTACTCCTTCATGACGGCTCAGCACACATGCCCCAAAGTATCCTCTTACAGACTGTTTAGCTGTAACTATAGATGTATCCAAAAATCACCAGGAAAGGTGCTTTTCACTCTCAACTGTTGTATCACAAAGCCAGAAGTACACTTAATGTTTCCAAATTGTATTTACTTCATAGTGCACTGCTGGTTTTGTTAC